GATACGAACAAAAAAGATACAAACAAAAAATATTTCTCCCCCTTTTTGACAACAGCAAAAAGAGAAGAAGAAAAAGAATTAAAAGAGAAATGTAAGAAGTCATATGATAATCCTTTGATAATTGATCCTTAAAAGTGATTGAGATAAATTTGCAAATAAAATTAAAAATCATCAGACAAATAAAATAATTCATATGATTTAAGAAGAGATATAATATCGATAATAAAAAGAATTATCAGAAACATGAGTCAATTTAGACATTGAGATAAAGAATATCATTGCAAAAAGGATGAATATAAAATTTATATACTTAAAATTTTCAATACCAAATAAAATTATACAGAAGATTAATTTGAATTAAAAGATTGAAAGATTAAAGAAAGAATTAACTACCACATGTGGTGCTTTACACATCTTTTTCAATAGTTGTGGCAAATTTTTATGCATCTTTTTTACTTGTGGGCTTATTTTGTGCCTCTTTTTCAAATTGTGAACAATTGCGCATTCTTTTTGATTTTTGTACATCTGTACATTCTTCAAGAGTAATCTTGATCTTTCTAAAATCAATAATAAAAAATTTCAAATTTCTCGTAAGTATAATAATATTTATATTGAAAATTGAAATACAAAATAAGAAAACATCACAATTGCAATAATAATATAAAAATTTAAATTAGTCTAATAAGAGATATGAGATTGACATTCTCAATTACATCAAGTTATAAGTACAACTTAAATTTAGAAAAATTAGATTTTCAAATGAATTCAATTTTGTGTTGCAGTTCAAGATAAAGCACTTATAAGATCAAAAAATTTTAGAGATTTTCATATAAGCTAACACGCATTTCAAAATAAGATTAAAAACAAGACAAAATAACTTATATTGATATCATGATGAAGAATATTACATTTAGTTCAAATGATATCAATACACTCAAAATCTAAAAATACATAAAACACAAAACATAACAAAAAAACATAACTGCTAACAACACATTACTGATACAAACACATCACATTACATTGAAAAGCATAAAGAACTACATTGATCACTCAGAAGAACCCTGATCTAGAGGAGGTTGCTTGTTTTAAAAATTAAAATAACTGCTCATTATAATCATATTTGAGTTTATACCATCGATTTGATATCACATCCAACTCATATCCTGATGGTACTGAGCATCTTACATTTGTATATGAGTTTCAATTTGATCAAAGCGTTGATCAAAATGAGTCTCTAGACGATCAAATCTGTGAACCAAATCTTGATAATTTGGTTCACCAGCAGGTGCAGGTGGAGGTGCTCCCATTTCCTCCTCTAAGTCACTACTAATATGTTGTTCAAGATGTTCATCTTTATTAAAGATTGCTCAAAAAGATCCATTATTGTTGTAGAGAGGCTCCTATAGATTTTGAACTGGATGGACTAGTTCATACTTTTTCTCCAAAATATAGGTCACAAGATGTCCTAAGGCTTTATTTTTCTTTCTTTTGTGGGTGACATGGCCAATCTCAGAAAGTTCATAAATGTAGTTAATGATTAGTTGGGCTTCATCTATAGGTTGATTGGTCATAATCAGATAGGTCACTGTAGAAAGAAGAGGTTTGATATTGACTCGATCACCAGCTTTAGGAATAATGGATGTGCGAAGAACATGCTGGATGATACGGGCATTGAGATTAAGAGTGGCTACCTTAGGCATATGACCTACTCCTCTACATCCTCTAATTACATGATTTACTATTGTCCAGTCATAGTTAGTGGAGGAGGTCAAAGTGTGGGCTCTAATCCCTTGAGTTCTTAAGTTTAGAAAAATTCCCAAGTCTTCTTTAGTGATTTCTACTTTCTTTTTTAAAACATAAGACCTAATCACAGATTGGTCAGAGTTAAAAGACATATTGGTAAGAAAGTAGTGGAAGGTTTCCTTAGTACAAATGGATAAGAGTGAGGATAAGGCCAAATTTGGTGGAAGTAGAAAAGGTGCATTACCTTGAAAGTGAGTTTCTCCTAAAGAAGGACTATAGAGGAAGTGATTTTGGCAGAAGCAAATCTAGGGAAGGATTCTTCATTTTCCATGGACAAGAAGTTTTCACTAGTGTTTTTGTGTGGTCCCTTAGCAAGCACCTTTTGTCTTTTGCTAGAACTAGCCATATAGAAAGCCTAGGGGAATAGAGGATTGAAAGGGATTTAGGAAGAGATGAGATTTGAGTTCTTTTTTTTTTTTTTTTTTTGAGAAGTGCTAAGCAGCAATAAAATAAAAAAGGCAAAGAAAAGCCTAGATACAAGCTAAGTGAGGATTAAACGACCTTTCACTCTCTTCCTTTACTAATTTAACAAAGGAAGAAGGAAGGTTATCCGCAATTAACAGGTCCCAATCAAAATCAAAAGATAAAGCTAAGTTAGCACAATAGTCCGCTAATTTATTACATTTGTGATTGACACAATTAAAGATGACATTATTGAAAATACTAAAAATATATATACCTTCATCTCCTAATGAGTTCTCTATCATAATCTTCGGTTTGTTGTACAATTTTTGAAGATATTGGAGAACATTTATATTGTCACCTTCCAAAATAATACCTTTTATATCTCCTGCCCATTCATGGGAGATTCCTTCCAAAGCTTTGAATGCCAATAGCTCCATTTGTGCACTATCCCAATTCATCTTCTTCCTTCCAGAAGTAGAGATAAATCTGCCTTTATCATCTCTTATCGCACCAGCGATTCCATCCATATAATTATCTTTAATAGCTGCATCAAGATTGATTTTAAGCCACTCAGGTGGAGGAGGATGCCAATAATGTGAACGCAATCCTTTGGACCGATAAGCATCCCAGTGGTCTGAGTGGAAAATATCTTGCTTTACCGAGCTAAGAAAGCTCAAAACTGAAGAAGCAATCAACAACTTACTGCTTCCATATTTTCCATGCTTCACTTTGCATCTATTGTTCCAAACCATCCATATGGTTAAGACATAAATTTTAGCAGTCATGATATCATGATTTGTTAGTCTACTAAGACCGTTGTTGAAATCGTTCCAATTAGTGAAAGATGGAATACTGAATCCCCAATCTTGTAACACATTGCATACTTCCAAAAGTTTAGAACAATTAGCTGTGATATGATCAAAATTTTCAATCACACCACATCCCATGGGACACATACAATTAATAGACAGCTTTCTTTTAAAAAGAAAATATTCTATAGGAATAGCATCAATGTTTAATCTCCAAGAAAGAGCTCTACCCGAGCATTAATTTTTAATTTATGAATCCATGAAAATGTTACCTTTGAAGCAACATCTCCATAATGATCTTAAGTTAGCAGTGCTGAAATGGTTTTACCCGTAAATTGTTTTTTCAATTCCAGTTGATCTCTAGTTGCATTACTGAAAATATGCACCTCTCGGATGATATTCTGGAGCTCTATCCCAAAATATTGATTCAGCTTTTCAGAATTCCAATTTCCTTCTTCTATAAAATAATCTAGAGTAGTTATGTCCTCATCAAGGCCCCAACAAAAGTCGACAATTTAAGAAGGCTCTTATTTAGAATCCATGTATCCTGTAAAACATTTATGTTGGAACCATTAACAACTTTCCATTTACAAATATTTTAAGAGTCTTCCATCCACTTATGATGATTTTCCAAGCAATAGAACCTCCTTTATACTCATCCTTACTCCACCACAAATCACCATTTTTTTCAACAAGTTCCTATTTAAAAAGTTACTTGGTTTCTCAATGAGATTCTAAGCAAACTTTGCTCTAAGAGATTCAATTCTTGAAGTAATGATTGAATAACAGATTTTTCCGGCTAGAGACATATGCCTGTTACTCCATACATTCATTCTCTTCATAGTTTTATCCAACAGCACTTGGAAATCACTCTTCTTTAACCGTCTCAAAGCAATTTTTATTCCCAGATAATCAATTTCTTCTACCGGTTTGAAGGCCAGCAATTTTGAAATCTGTTTCATTTTCCTTCTTAACACAGAATTTCCAAATATCAAAGTTGATTTCTGCTTGTTTACATTCTGACCCGTCCAGCTGCAGTAATGTTTGATAATGCTCTTAATTTTCTTCACATTATTCAATCTAGCATCACAGAACAATAACACATCATCTGTGTATAATAGATGTGAAATTTTATATGCATTGGAGCAAATACTGATTCCCAATTTGTTCCCCCTGTAGTAGAAAACATTAGATAATAACTTAGAGTAAATTATAAATAATAATGGAGAGAGAGGGCATCCTTCATGACACCCACATTTTCCCTCAATCCATTTAGATCTTGTCCCATTGATTAATATAGAAAAATCTAGGAAATGACACACAATCCATAATCAGCTCCGGTAAACCTAGATCCTTCATCACCTTCTTCAAGGTGAACCAACACATACTATCGTATGCTTGTTCCATATCCAATTTTATAGCCAAATATCCATTGCAAGCTTTTGAAAATCTCAATTTATGGAAAACCTCTTGAGCTAATAGAAGATGATTAGAAATCGATCTATTCTTAACAAATGCCACTTCCTCTTCAGAGATGATTTTGGGAATCACTAAGACCAATCTATTTAAGATTATATTTGATACAATCTTATAAATTTAGTTACACAAGCTGATAGGGTGGTAATGAGCATGAGTTAAAGGATTATAGGATTTTAGAATGAGTACTACCAAAGTATCCTTCCATTCTTTACTCATTTTACCAGTAGAGAAAAAAAGGCTCACCGCTTTACAAACATCACCACCAATTATTTCCCAATAGTTTTTCAAGAAAGAGTGAGTCAATCCATCACATCCTGGAGCTTTATTACTCCCTAGCTTCATAACAGCCTCCTTAACTTCATTTGTTGTAAGCTCCTTTTTTAAAAAAGTTTTTTCATCTTCATTCAAAACCTTCCATCGGTTCAGCCAATTCTCTAGACTGCATTTCCTTTACTTCCATTTCTCTAGAAAGAAAGAATAGAAAACATCTTCCACTTCTCTTTAATCTTCGGTGATTTGGCCTTCCATATTTTTATCATGAGAGATCCAGTTGGTATTTCTTTTAGCATTGGCAAATGAATGAAAGAACTTGGTGTTTGAATCACCTTCAACATTCCACTTCACTTTTGCCCTTTCCTTCCACCAAGTGTTCAAGTGATTGAGAATAACATTGAGTTCTTTTACTTTAGATTTAAGCATCCAAACCTTCTCATCTTCCAGCCAGCCATTGGTAGCTTCTTCTTCTTGGAGTAAAAGAATTTCAGCCTTTAATCTGGATTTTTCTCTAGAAAAATCTTCAAGCTTATTCTTGCTCCAATGGAATAAGTCATTTAATGCTTTCTTAAATTTCTTGTTTAGTATTTCCATCTCATCCCCAACAAAATATTTCTTCCAGGTTTTTGAAACAATGTGTTTTGATGTCTTGAACGATAACAATACATCTTCAAATTTAATACATCTTGCCATGCTTCTAATTTCAACAAAAATTTTTAGCACAATAGGGCAATGGTCAGAAGCCAATCTAGCTAAGTGTCTAACCATTACAATTTGAATCTTTTGTATAGCCAATGAGTTCAACAAGCATCTATCCAAACGTTCTAAAATTCTTGCACTTCCATGTTTATTATTGCACCAAGTATATCTTGGACCAACCATCCCAATATCATGATAGTCGTTATCATTCATAAACTTAAGCATTTCTAAGGAACCTTGAGAGTAGACAAATTTCTTACATCCTCTCTTTTCCTCTTGTGAAAGAATACAATTAAAGTCTCCTCCAATTACATATGGAATCTTCCTTTGTGATTGTTCTTGTATGCAATCCCAAAACAATCTTCTCTTGTAAGCCTCCTTGTTCCCAAAAACAGTAGTAATCATCCAACAACCATTATTAAAGGCATTAAGATCACCAATAACACATTGATCTATATTCTTTAGCACTGTGAATGAACCAATATCAAATCTCCATAGAATCATAATGCCACCAGATAATCCCTTCGAAGGTAGAATGAAAAAATCCCAATTAGGACCCATAATCCTATCAAACTCATTTTTATCAAAAGAGCTGATTTTAGTTTAAATTAAGCCCAAAAAGAAAACCTTATAGTCTTTTATGAACTCCTTCATATATAGAGAGGCTTCCTTCTTCTTTTCCCCTCTACAATTCCAAAATGCTATGGAATCCATTAAATTTTAATTGGGGAGTAGCCCCCAACCTTTTTCCTTCCTTCTCCAAGTCTTCCACGGTTTTTATTTTTAATAGGTCCTAAAGATTTAAATTCTTTTGCCAATTTGCATTTAGGTAATTCTTCAATCAAACCAGTGTTGCTATCCAATACCAATATATCTCCTGTGACTTTGTGCAGCTCCGAATCACCTTCCTTAGCAATCCTTTCTTCTTCAGCTATCACCACAGATTTCTGGTTGGCATCATCAATCCTATCAGCATTCATTGATTGGAGGATAGAGAACTTATTTTCATCTATCAAAGACAGAGAATCTGCTTTATTCAATTGCAGATTATTGTTCTGTTCAGAAATTTTGCTGGGAGAACTTACTGCTACATGATAGAGAATACCTGTCCATTAGGATTTACTTGAGTTCGCAGACAACCCTTCCCCAATGTGTTATCTGAATTAAAAGGCTCGACCACAACCATGTTGTCTTCCTGAAAAGGCACAGCAACTAGTTCTGGCCTGATCTCTCCTTCTTCAAAAATTTCAGTATTTGTGCAGACTTCTCCATGAACATCTTGAACTAAACTTTCACTAAGGCCTTCCTCTACCACCTCTTGAATATCATTCCTGATTGAGGAAGGAATGTCAGCTTTTTTAACATATCTAAGAGAGTTATTTTTCTTTTCCTGATTGCTCCTTTTTGCATTCCTTCTTCTCTTATTGTTTACCATAATCCAAGGCCCATAAGAAGGTTTAATAAGATCTTATTTTTTTCTATGCACAGCCTTTTCTCCTCTAATTTCCTCCCCATCCACCGCCACTTGAGGAATCTTAAAATTTTGTTCACATTCCTTATTCACATGTCCAATTTTTCCACAAACAAAACAAAAGTTTGATACCTTCTCATATTCTACCTTTTGGAAGAACCTTCCAGCCATGTTATCCACCCAAACTCCTAAAGGAATAGGTTCATCAAGCTTAATTCTTACACAAACTCTGGCAAATTCTCTCCTTCCCCAATGGAACATATTGCCATCCAACATAAGAGGTTTACCAATTCTTGAAGAAATGCAAGATACATTCTTCTCATCCCAACATTGTAATGCCCAACATTGTAATGGTAAATGTGGCATTCTTATCCAAATTGGAGATGATAATCCCTTAATAGAAGTAGTATTAAATTCCGGAGTCCACTTCTCCATGCCTATTATATGTCCATTCATAAACCAAGGGCCACCTAAATGGACTGCTTCCACCATTTCTTTAGAAGAGAAGGAGCATAAGAACCATCCTCCACCCAATGTAGTAAAGTGCAATTTCCAAAATTGAGTCCATTGCTTCCTTATTTCCCAAACCACTAAATGAGAAGGTATGACTTTTCCAAATACTTTAATAACCAATGAATTAGCTAAAATTTCTTAGTTCCTCTTCTCGTAATCTTCATGTAGTATCACTGCAATTCCATCTTCAGAGTAAACCACTTCTTCTTCCTTGAAATCCAGCTTAATGTATGGCTTATTGCTCCAAGCATTAACATTTCCTAAACCAATTAAGCTTTTTGGCATTCCAGCAGGTAGCTTATTTACATTCATCTCATTCCTTGATCCAGGTTCTGAATAAAAATTTTTGTTAACCAAATCCCGAGAATTCTCATTTATCATGCTACGACTAGCTCCAGAGATTGGATTCGAATTCACGAATGATTAACAAATAATTTCATTCTAGAAGTTGAAGCATTCATATCAGAAGGAAAAGATGTAGATTTAAAATTGTTAGGAGTAACCGAATTCAAAGCTTCATCTATTGCCTTACCTTTGCCCTCCACATGTTGAATTTTATTAGTTGAATTCTTAGAAACTTCATTGATCACCAAAGGACCTTGATGTTTAAACAAAGGATTTTGAATCCTTTGAAAAGAATTCAAATTCTTCAAGCCACCCCCTGCATCAGTCATGATTGAATTAACCATCCGAGATGGAGACCTTACCGTCGATGACGTAGGTTTCCGATAATCTTCAGACACCATGTCTTCCTTCTGGCCTTGCCGGCGGCTTTCCGCCGCCATCATCCACCGTCGTTCCTGAAAATCAGGAACAAAAGATGGAAATGAAAATTTCAAATTTTAAAACTTTCTCTCTCTAACGGCTGGAGTTTCTCTCTCTAACGGCTATAGTAGTTCCTTCAAGATTGGCTAGTTGGAATAAAAACTAAAGCATGAGGGATCAATCGATGAGATTTGAGTTCAGAACCCTTCTATTTAAAGAAAAATGAGTTTATGTACAGACAAAATGAATTTCATCTCGTACGAATTTTGATTCATATGTACGAAAAATATTTTTTATGGACGAACGAATACGTCCAAAAATGAAACGACTTTTCATACTCACACAAGTTACAATGCGTCCTTTCATAGACTTTTGACTAAGATGATCATACAGATGAATAGGTGTTCGTCCAGGATGATATAAAATTTAAGGTCATTTTTATGACAGTTTGAAACATCCCCCACTTTGAAATGCCACCTGTTCGTATGGACGAACCAAAGGTTCCTACGTACGATCAGGAATAGTTAATTTGATCTTATCCATATAATTACCTTCACGCAAGCATACGATTGAATACACATCATCTGAATGATCGTCACAATCTTACAGATGAACAGTGAAATAAAAATTGAAAAATTGTATGCAAACCGTTCAAATCCGACAGTTAATACACTACACAATTCATCTCGTACGAAATGAATTTCGTACAGACGATTATCACTAAAAATATTTGAGAAGACATTCAAAATCATGAATCTTGATGTGAAAGAACACAAAACAACATGGACAAAAATTCTCAAAATCAAACAAAAACACAAACAAAACGATAGAAAATATAAAAAATCAAAAAATCAAAGGACTCACAAAATATTAACAAAAACACACATCAATGTAGCAGAATCATTTTTATTTAAGCATTCAAATCAATTACACCAAGCCTTGTTCTTAATATGCTGAAGGTATCAAAAGCTAGTGGTTTTGTAAAAATGTTTGCAATTTGATTTACTGTTGTAACTTGAATGAGTTCAATTTCTCCCTTGGATACATAGACCCTTATAAAATGATGCCTGATGTTTTTATGTTTGGTTCTTGAATGTTGAATAGGATTTTAAGAAATGCAAATAGCACTAGTATTATCACAATAAATGGGAATAATACCTATAGTTAATCTTAAATTAATCAACTGTTATTTCAACCAAAGTACTTGTGCCACACAACTTACTAATGCAATGTATTCAGCTTCAGTAGTAGATAGGGCTACTGAATTTTTTTTTTACTAGACCAAGAGACTAAAGAATTTCCAATAAACTGACATATTCTACAAGTGCTCTTTCTATCAACCCTATAACCTACAAAGTCAAAATCTGAATAACCAATTATTTTAAATGAAGAGCTAAACTTAGGATACTAAATTCCTAAGTTCTGAGTTCCTAACAGATATCTTAAAATCCTTTTTACTGCTGTCAAATGTGAGTCTTTAGGATCTGATTGAAATCTAACACATAAAAAAATACTAAACATGATATCGGGCCGGCTAGCTGTGAAGTAAAGCAAATATCCAATAATCCCTCCAAATTTCTTTTGATCAACAGATTTTCTCTTAGGGTCCTTATCCAACTGAACTGAGGAACTCATTGGTGTACTAACAAGTTTAGTATTGTCCATTTCATACTTTTTGAGGATTTCCTTAACATATTTTGACTAACTAAGAAATGTACCCTCCTCAATTTGCTTAATGTTAAAGCCTAGAAAGTAACTTAAATCTCCTATTAGACTCATCTTAAATTCATTACTCATTATTTTAGAAAAATCATCACAAAGATTTTTATTTGAAGATCCAAAGATGATGTCATCAACATAAATTTATATAATGAGTATATCCTCTCAAATTTTCTTCAAAAAGTGGGTTGTATCCACACTCCCTTTTTTAAAAGATCTCTCAAGTAGGAATGTGCTCAACCTCTCATACCAAGCCCTAGGTGCCTGTTTCAATTCATATAATGCCTTTTTCAGTTTGAAAACATGATTTGGGTGTTTAGAATTTTCAAAACATGAAGGTTGTTCTACAAAAATAACCTCTTGAATTACCCCATTTAAAAAGGCACTTTTTACATCCATTTGGTACAATTTAAATCCTCTAAAACAGGCAAAGGCTAACAAAACCCTAATTGCTTCAAGTCTTGCTATAGGGGCAAAAGTCTCCTCAAAATCAATCCCTTCAATCTGATTATACCCCTTATCTACTAATCTAGCCTTATTTCTAATGACTACTCCTGAGTCATTCATTTTATTTTTGAATACCCACTTAGTTCCAACTACACTTTGATCCTTTGGCCTTGCAATTAATTCCCAAACTTTATTTCTTACAAATTGATTTAACTCTTCTTGTATAGCCAAAATCCAAAATTCATTTGAAAGTGTTTGATCAATATTTGTGGGTTCTATGGTTGAAATAAAGGCTAAATGATTGACTTCTTTGTTTAATCCACACCTAATCCTTACACCCTCACTAGGTTCACCTATAATCAATTCCTTTAGGTGGTTCTTAGAAATCTCATATCTCTAGGCAAAGGGTTTTCTATCTCCAAATTTTCTTCCAAATTTATTTTATCAATCTTTTGGGAGTTAATCTCAATCTCATCTTCTACAATGTTTGGCTCTTCCAAAATTCTAGATTCATCAAATACAACATGTGTGGTCTCTTCAATTACCAAAGTTCTTTTATTGAATACTCTATAAAATTTTTCAATACTTGAGTATCCTATAAAAATTCCTTCATCTGATTTTGGATCAAATTTTTCTAAGACAGATT